GGAATGGGCCTCAGAGATCATCTAGTCCCACCCCTCACCAGACCAGGTTGCTCAAGGCTTCATCCAGCCTGGCTTTGAACACTGCCATGGTTGGGGCATCCACTACTCCTTGGGCAACCTGTTCCAGTGTCTCACCACCTTCACAGTGAAAAACGTTTTCCTAATATCTAACCTAAATTCCCCCTCTTTCAGTTTGTACCCATTGCCCCTTGTCCTGTCACTGCAGCTTCTAACAAGGAGTCCCTCTCCAGCTTCCCTGTAGTCCCTTCAGATACTGGAACATATGAACAGTACAGTAAAAGAAGCTGTCTGCAGCTCAGACAATATAAAAGTATAAATTATAACAGTAACACATAAAATGAAGAGAAAGACCAGATGGGTAAGCTAACCAGAAATAATCTGTACATGAGAATTAGAATTAAAATAATTTGCTATGGCAAACATTTGTGGAATTGAAAATGTGGTACCTTTCCTTTAAAAAGTGCACTGCAAGGAGTCCAGATCTAATACCAATGGCAAATAAACTGACATAATAGCTGGAAATAAAATGACACAGTCCTATAGGAAACATGACAAAGTATGGAGAAGTCTGATTTCCTTTCCTCTCTGTTCCCCAAACAATCAGCAGTGGAAGGAGAAATGCAAGAAATGCTTTTGAGGAAAGCCTGGCCACAGTCTGCACTGGCACATCTCTGCAACAAAACCCAGGTGAGTAAGAACACCAGATTCTTGAGGCTACTGGTGACATGTAGGTGACACCCACCGTATTTTTAAAATTCAGTGTATGTAGTGCATCTGTCCTACCTGTCTAGAAGCACTATACATCAGGGAATGCTCACGTCATGTTGCATCTCATACTGAAAAAACCGTCCCTGAAGCATAGTGCAGGTAAAAGCCACACAAAACTACCTGCTTTAGTTAGCTCTATTAAAAATTTAGAATTAAAAAAGATCAAAAATGGCAATGTCCCATAGATTAAGAACCATCAGACATCATAAGAATTTGTCACCAGACACTTGCAACTGAAGGGGGCGATCAACAATGAATTTCAGCAGATTACTGTAAAGATGAGAACATACTTGGTGTTTCCACTAACAGCGCTTGAACTGAGTGCTTATGACCAAAAGACTAGCAGTGTGGTAAGACAGGGACAACACAGCCTTACACACGAAAGAAAATATGCTTTAACACATGAAGGAAGGGGAAGATGCATCTGGAGAGTGGGTGATTCTGAAAGGAACAAGGCAAGAGCTCACACTGCATATGAACACTGCACTGAACAGCATTAATGAGATGTAAAACCAGCAGAGTAATGACTTCTGATCTCTGCTGCCAGGTTTATTTTTATCCAAGACTGTTTAAAATTAAATGCATAAATAACCTGGAAAGAACACACCTCCCTTGCTCCAAGGTATGTGTTTTGAACGCTATGGTATAGTTAGTGCCTCCTTAATTTTCTTTCTGGCTCTTTTGAATAATGACAGCTCCAACAGAGGCCTAGAGCATCTTCTTCCCAGCACACATGCTGTTTGCTGGTTAATGGAGCCTTCTGAAACTTGGGGATATGAATTTGCATCATGTCACAGAAGCAAACATCATCCACATCTTCTAAATCCTGTGATACCTCTAACCAGAAAGCAGGTATTCAAAAGGTGACCATTTTATGTCCTGCATGTCAGATCAAAAGAATAATCCTGGAAAAAAGCATGAGTACTTACATGCAAGCTCTGAATCAGGACCAGTTGGTGACAAATACCTGAAGTCCTGACTCAGTTATTGCAGCACTGGGAAGGGACAGCATTTCACACCTGTTCCCAGGGTTAACATTTCCCACTGCCAGCTCTGTGCTGCTCACCTCCCAGAATAACCTGGTTTTCAGGACATCAATTTGAAGTGGTTCAACTCATCTTATATGCAGTAACTCAGCCTTCTCTTTGCTTTGGCCCTGGAAGAGTTTTTAGGATGTGTTTTGGATAAAGGCGAATGACAAGGCTTACTACAGAGGTAAATGTGTACACGTCAATGGCCTTCTAATATATGAGAGACTAGAATATCTAGTTCCTACCTATTAACCGTTTAATTTTTGCTCTCCCCCATAAGAGAAGCATAATGTATCACATTTGGTTTGGATGACTGATACTGTGTTTTCTACCAAAAGAGGAAAGCATTACTTAATCGCATGCAAAACTACATCTATCAAAATGAACAGATCTCTGAAGCAATTATCTACAATTGTACAGATGGCTATGAATGGAACTTTCTCAAGTTGTTTGTAGAGTGATTACACTTGAATTGTTAAACTCTAAATTTAAAAAAATAGCTTCCGTGACACTAAATTTCAACAGGATGCGTAACTCGTAACTTGTATAATTTTACAAGTACCTACTTATTTTGAAGTCAGACTGTGAAAAGCTTTACTTTTGGATCTTACCTTTTCTTCCAGTCATTACTGACAAACTTCATTCATTTGCATAACTACATGTGAAAATATTACAAGATCACTTTTAAAGACATGCCCTATCAAAGCTTCAAACTAGCAGCCAAGAACCATTTTCTTGGGATGATGCAATGTTTGGCAATGGTGCCTTGATTCCTTAATTTGGAACTGTGAAGGAAGTACTGAAATACCAAGTGTCTACACTGGTATCACTTTCAGAAAGGAGAACACTAAACTTGGTACTTCATAAAACAAAGGCAAACCCCATTCCTCCCACTCTGCAACATACACTAAAAATCAAAGAATTAAAGCTTGATTACACAACTGATCTGGACACCACCTTCCCACCCTGCAAAAAGCCCACTCCAGCCCTTGTGTTAACACCTGTGTCAACAAATGATGACCTAACCTTCTTTAATTCAATCTTCTTTCTTTGCTGATCCACTAGTAGAAATACCATGCTTGTTTGTCCAGTGGCAAATAGCTGCTAGTTACCTACTACAACAAATCTTCTAAGCTGTTGCTGCCTAGGGCTGTATACGTAGAAAGATGAAATTTGAAAGTTCAGAAGGGTCTTTTTCCTAAAATGTAAACAAGGATGCACAGTCTAGAATAAAGAAGTTAAATTTTCTTTATCTTCACTACTATGTATAAGCAGCACTTGTACCAGGGTCTCCCAGGTACAGATAGAGAGAACAGCAAAGGTGAATTATGCCCACTACTTACTTTGGCCAAAAGATCACTCTGTTTCCTCCTCAAGTTCTTCTGATGATGGGTAACTTACTTTTTGTGAATTGCTGCCTGTGCAGAATTAAATGCCACCTTACTGCAAAATCCTCTTCCCTAATTGAGCTAGAGAAGAAACAAGCAGTGGAGAGGAGTAGCTTTTTTCACCTCCTAAAGGTGCTGACGAAACAGAGTGTCACAACTGTCTCCATGCAATCCATCATAATAACTTCAGGAGACTGCAGTTGGGTACATGTAGAGGCCCAGAGAAGTGGGTGGGTCATCACATTAGTTACATTCTGTATCTGCAACTCCTCTATCAGGATTTTGGCACAGAGAAAATGAAGTTCTGCATAGCCATAAAAGTGCTAGGACAAACATCAATTCTGAAAATCGCAACAGTAATGAACTACTACGATTTGAAGGTCTCTCTTAACAAGCTTTTAGCAAAGAAGCTGCTGTTGGTTAGTATTGTCTTCCTACTTGCAAGAAATGCTGCTCACACATTAGTTTGGAAAGAAAAAATAATCACAACACACATAGCAGCAAGCATTGAGGCCATTGTTAGCAATCTTAGTTCAACTCCATAATTCTGCAGAAGAGCCCTTTGCAGGGCATTAACCACACTGTTCCACCTGACACGACTCAAACAACAGCCCATCCTATGGCACAGCTACAGCTGTTCAGCTACTTTGAGTCTTCTCCTGTCCCACTCAGGAAGCACAGCAAATGTACTGCTAATGAGCACATTGGTGAAAGAACCTGGCTGGTTCTAGTCCAGAATACTTCCTAACTTTGCCACACTTGTACTTCTCCCAACAACTCAATTAGCATTTACTTTTTTCCCCATGTGGAGCTTTTGCTTATTTCCTAATCACATAAAGCTGGACACCCACCTTTTCTCTGCATTCCCACTGCTTTTCACTTAACTTCAGACACATACAGCAAACAAGACTTTTAATCTTTTGCGTTTAATTTACAGTATTGATTGCTCCAAGTTATGCCTTACTGTTGGTACACAGTAAATACATTCATCTGAACAACTTAGTATGAAAAACGCAGTTAGAACATGAAAAATCAGTACTGCTTTACAATGTGCGAAACAGAACCTTCAGAAGGAATGACATTGCCTACCGCCAGGCACAGAGGAAGACTCTTTTGCTCTTTAGCCTACCAGAGCATTCATTCCTGTACCCCTTCACTTGAAATTGCCTGTAACAATGGATTTTAGGTGAATTCTGCTGAATTTAAGAGGATTAAATTACTCCCAGCTTGGCCTTTAGCACATGTATTTCCAGAACAGGATGTTTTGCTGTTCACTACACTAAGAATGGCTGTTTTCTGAAGATTTACTGAACAAAGGGCTCCAACAACACTTCAGAACTGAAGATTTTTCTGAAAAAGTTACACTCTACAGGTGCATGCAGTGTCAAAGTCTGGATGATTTAAGTAACATGCTTCCCCTAGATAAAAGACAAGTGGCTGAGCAGAACTGCCATGTCACAAATAGTACTTAAATCAGATGAAAGGCATTCTTATTGCAAGCTTCAGACAGATTAATATATATTGCAACACTAAGCACAGATTTAGAAAAATATTATCTCAGGGTTAGCCTTTTCAGAATCTTTGAATTTTGTTGGGATTTTCATGTTGCTTTGTTGTTTTTTTGAAGTCTTTGAAGTAATGTAACAGAACACATATGGTGGAAGATGCCAAAAACCACCCTGCTGTTCAATCTGAAAGAGCTGGGCTGTCAAAGCTGTTATGCTGTTGACAATTGCTTGTTTGATGATTTATATATAAATATATATATTTAAACAATGAAGAGGCAGGAAATGTTTATTTATTGTGGGCTTTTTAATTTTATGATCAAGAATGACTGAACATAGCAACTTAAATCAACCCAATTACATAGTTTCTGTTAATGGCTGCCAAACAAACGTGTACTCCAGTGACCCACCGTGAGCAAAGTTATCTGATGGGTGAGACAGATTGTAAGGTTAGACACAGTACATGTAAAAATAGAAAGTTTAAAAACCAATCTTGTCACAGACATTTCCATTGCCATCTCCTTTGTGAAATAAATAAGGCAGCAGATAACTTTTACTTTGCAGTGGCATCTTTGAGGTATGCTATTAGGTCTACTCTCTCAGACTTCTTCTTAATACCCGCAAAAATCATCTTTGTTCCTGGGATATACTTCTTTGGATTCTCCAAATACTCCATCAGAGTATCCTCACCCCAAGTGATACCTACAGAGAAGAAAAAGATAGATAGTCAATGATTTGAAAATGATAAATACACTCGTAGTCTTTTCTTCCATGTGATTTTCATTTTGGCAGATTTCAGTACTTCTAGAACTATAACCAAGAAGTGAATAACACTCGTAGTCTTTTCTTCCATGTGATTTTCATTTTGGCAGATTTCAGTACTTCTAGAACTATAACCAAGAAGTGAATATTTTTTAGCCCTTTACTCAAAGGAGCAGCTTTAAGTTTACCTTTGTTCTTATTAGCATCCGTGTAGGAGAAGCCCTCAGCTTGTCCAGTCTTGCGTCCAAACAGGCCATTCAAGTTGGGTCCAGTCTTATGCTTGCCTCCCTTCTCCACTGTATGGCACTGGGAACATTTCTGGACAAAGATCTTCTTGCCCTTCTCAATATCTCCCATTTTCAGTACTAGACCAAGAACACACACACAGAGAGGTCAGTATCACAATTTCAAGGTCATTGAGAAAACAGAAACGTTAATTGTCCTCTGGGTTCACAAAACTAACATGTATGGCCTGCAGGTCTGGTAACTAATTCTCCAGCACGCTGTCTATCCACAAGCTATAGCTCCCGTGTTTGAGCACTAGTATGGAACCATCAGACTATGTATAAGGTATCAAGGTGACAAACAGGCCTGGACAGCAGGGAAAACCTTCCCTCAGGCAGAGCAATCAGCCCACAGCATTTCAATGCTGCAGTGGTAACTTTTGAAGAGCAAATTGAACACAACTTCTATATATAGCTCGCGCATTCCTAACAGGAAAGTTTCCAAGTCATGAACACCCTTGTGCAGAGGCACAGGGCTGTTTCCAAGCTTTTCCTTTCGAGACGACACTGTTCGCAGGCTTCTCCCTTACTGCCGGAGCAGCTCACCGGTACCCGCCGGGGCGGGCGCAGGGCTGCCCGTCCCGCCGCCCTTCCACCACGACCCGGGATGACCCTGGAGGTCCCGCACAGCCCCAAGGGCGCCCGCACCTCCTCCCCCCACGCCCAGCCTGACCTTGAGGCCAGGCGAGAGGCG